TCACGACACGATGATGTGTCCTGAATCACATCCACCAGAACCCACCTACGGATCATTCTGATGCAAACTGCGAGAGAGGAGCTGATAAGTGAAGGAGGGACTAATAAGTGCATGGATGGGGGTTGGTGGGGGGGGGGGTTGTGGTGGAGTATGCCCCCGCATGGCCCCGGTGTTTTCCCTGGCTCTGTCATCATCAGTGATTGCGGTTCCAAGAGGACAGGATGCACCCCCAAACTGATTGAGACCCTCCCCCATAAAGACGTCACTGCCATTTCGGGCTGTCTGGACCGCAGATTTGGGGATTATCTGTGGGAATGTGTCCGGGCGCCCCCACATCATAAAACAGGGAGGGGCCCTGAGCAGAAGACAGGCGCTGTCAGGCCTATTGGGAGAACAAACCCTCCCCTCTCAGGCTAAGAGAGAATAGCAGGAGTCAGGCCCCGTCTGAAAGAATGACAGGCGGAATGAGGATCCCTCAGTAATTGGTGGGGGGAGGGGAGTCGCTGGCCTTGGGGAGGGTGGGGACACTTACACTGTTGGCCCCTGACATGCTCTGTAAGCCACGTGAAAAGCGATGAGTTTTGGCTTCGTTGCTTGTGACTATGGTCGCACAACTGAAATGGTGACAGTGACCAGCCAGGGTCTTGGTCTCGCCCCCCCCCCCCCCCCCCCCGCAGCTTTTCTGTACACTCAGATATTTCAGTCTGTTTATCAGAGGCAGGGTGAACCAGCCCGTGTAGCAAACGGGGGTTAGGGGCCTCGCTTAGGGGCCCAGTGGTGACACGATGATGCTACCTCCGGGATCTGAACTCACCTCCTTCTGATCACAGGCACAAACCGTGAAATGGCCAGACCAGGAGCTGGGATCACAAAGAAAGTCTTGGCAGAGTCAGAGAGACGGTGTCCATGCCGGCAGTCTCTCCTCGGGCCGCACGTGAACTCGCCGACACCGGTGTGAATCTGCATAAATATGGTGATCTACGCACACGTTTGGCTGTACGTGTCGGAGCACGACGTGCAAACACAGCAGATGTGGGGCCCCCACAGCACTAATGTGCGAACTAAATTGGGGGGGAGGATCTGCCTTGAGTATTTTAGCTCTTATGGATGTTGAGGCGTTAAATAATTAGATGCAGAGTAGAGAGTATCACTCTGACTCTTTGGTGGCTAAGAACAATGTCTGATAGTATCCATGATACATGTTGTCAAGTTTCACTACAAGTTTAAAAGGACTCCTGCAACGTCCTACTGTGGACCCCAGGGCACTGCGGACCACTGGCTGCAGTGGAGGCAAGGGCACTTGGCCCGACAGGAAGGAGGGGGTGCCAGTGATGGGTGTTGCCCGGCAACATCCACCCTGATCTCAGAGTAATGGCGGAACCCCTGCAAGGCCCCCGAATGCCCGGGGGCTGCCTGATGAACATGTTCAGGCCCAGTGCAAGCGAGTGGTTCCTCCTGCTCCCCCAAAGAGAGCCGGAGTATAAATATTTCCACATCCAGATGTTTTCAGTTTAAACATACTCAGTGGAAAGATTTACGCTGAATGAGAAATGAGCAATTCCAAATCTCATATCTGGCATTCTCTGCCCCCTTTGCCAACAAAAGGGAAATCCAGCGTATAATCTCAAATCATAGGAGCTGAATTTACACTTAAAATTTACAAATTGTGTGGGATGGACAGCAGGATAAACGGAACTGACTCTGTGGTAAACAGAGCTTGAAAAGGGGCACACCGTATGGTAAATGGGCTGACCGTATGGTAAATGGGCTGACCGTATGGTAAAACGGGACTCATAAAGGATCATAAAGTACACAGGGCTATGGTAAACTGGCTGATTGCAGCACTCACCTTCGATTACACACTGATCTGGTGAAGGGATGTGTCTGCTTGCGTCTGCACAGAAGGCCCGGATCCGCTCGGCATTGTCCTTCATGTGGAGCCAGAGCTGGTCTCTGTCCCTGTCCTGCGTGTCACTTCCTGTGGCCTGCCCCTCTCCCCCTGAGCCGGGGTCCTGCAGCGTGGATGCAGCAGGGATGTGGGCCTGCAGAGTAACGGTCCTCTCCTGATGCACCGGACTGGCAGACCTCTCTGCCGGAGTCCCCTCTACACCCTTCTCCACGGCTGCTTCATCCTGCCCGTTGTCCAGGTTGATGGACCGCGAGCGGACCGCTTGCAAAGCAAGGCTTCTGGACCTGAGGAAGAGCCCTGTGTTGACACGCCTGTTGAAGCTGCAGCCTGCCTGACAATTACTGACCTTGCAGACTGCCAGACACTCTTTCTGAAGCTGCAGACTGCCTGAAGCTGTAGACTGACACACCTGTTGAAGCTGTAGACTGCCTGACACACTTTCTCAAGCTATAGATTGCCTGACACTATCTCAAGCTGTGAATTGACACACCTGTTGAAGCGCATCTCGCGCCGTTCATCGCGGGCCGTCTGGCCAGTACTATTGCGCCGCTGTGGTCCAGATGACTCAGCTTTCAGCTCCCCCTCTTCGTCCAGCTTCTCCTCGAATGCTTGGATCTTAATCTGCGGCCTTTCCTCAGGGTCCCTCCTGCTTGCCTCAGACCCCAGGTCAAATGGCTTCGGGAACTCCTCCGCCTCATCATCCTCCCTGTGACACACACACAGACACACAGATTAGCTAAGTCAACAGACACTCAGTCAGAAGACTCCATCTGCAGAAGTTCAAGTACCACACCATAATGGTTCCGGAAAGGGCTTGTTTCTGTGCGTGTGTGTGCGCGTGTGTGTGTGTGTGTGTGTGTGTGTGTAGCTGGGGAAAATGTGAGAACAGTGAGCAGGACGCTGATAAGTGTATCCAATCCAGGAGACCTTCGTCCCCGTCTTCAGCTGTTTTACATTCTGAGTATTTCCTTGTAAAAGTCTCTAATTCCAGAGAGACCCCAAGCTGGATACGTGGTGGACGAAATGTTCCTGGTACAGCAGCCCGGAGTGCCTGAGCGGCCTCGTCAGTGCCAGCTCCCCTAATAAGAGCTGCGGAACCTTTCAAAATTAGATTCTGAACTTTCTTTTGACTTTACAAGCAGCATCAAGGCCAAAAGTGAAATTTCAAATTTTCTTTACTGAGAGAAAGCCCCATGGCAAGACGCTTAAATGTTTTTGCCGTTCCAATCTTATCTCCCATGAGTGCGAGAATGTAAAACAGAAAAGGTAGAAAACCTATTTAGAAAAGTGTCCTCGTTATGCCTGGTCAGATGGGAGAGACTGGCCAGGAAACCCAGACTGAAACAAGATAGAGAACCACTATGAAGAAGAGTACACAAAGAAACATTCCATGAACGACATCAGCAGGTCATGTGACTGAGGCAGACACTTTCAAACAATGGAAGACAGGGGTGTTTAGTGCTAACCTACCAATCACATATGGGGTCCCAAGTGCAGAGACAAACACAAACAGAACAGCAAATAACAAAAGAGCCACGCTGACCACCGGCAAAGGTGAATGATCGAGTTCGAAGTCTCCCCTCCATCTTGCCAGCCAATCTCAGTTTGGTGGCACAGACAAGAATCGGTAATTTACATTTATTTATTTAGCAGAAGCTTTTATCTAAAGTGATACACAATCGGGAAGACAGGGTGAGCCGGTTCTTGGAGCAGTCGGGGGTTAAGGGCCTTGCTCAAGGGCCCAACGGTGAAATCAGTTGACTTACCACTGGGTTTGACCTGGTGATCTTCCGATCTTCGGCACAGCATCCTAACCCTCTGAGCCTCACACCACCCCCATGTTGAGGGTACAATCAGCTGCTGAGCATGATGTAACCTAAGAAGTCTAGTCCCTGCCTGTCTGTCGGTCTTAAGATCATCAAACGCAGCCTGGAAGTTGCCCAGAGTCTCGACTTCCTGGCCCTGGTTCCCCAAAATGGCAGTAGCCCAAGCTGGAGCCCATAAGGAGGGACCGTATGGGGCAGCTCTCGTTCCCCAGCAGTGAGCACAACCAGCATCCCTCAGTCACAGCTTCAGAGAAATGCTGGGGCGGGGGGGGGGGGGGGGGCTCCTGGCAGCAGCAAACGAGGGCGCCCTGGTCGGTCAAGGCTGAGAGCAAGTGGCTTCCAGACTGTGGAATGACATCTCGGATTGGAGAGTCCACTAAAGTAATAAATGAATTAAATAAATGATACACAGGGAGAAAATGGGTCCCGTACAACTTGTTTAAGTTTTATATGCGGAGTTGGTCCTAAAAACCCAGAAAGGAATTAAATTAGGCTCGTAGTAAGGAGACCTGCTTTTCTACTGCTACTTTACACTTAAGAAAAGGTATTCATGATAGGGTTCTCAGAACCTATCGGCCACGTCAAGCCAGAACTATCACTTGTGGTCCATCTTATGACAAAGGGCTTAAACAGGACTGATCCCAACTAACAGGTGGTCTCGGCTGGCTGTTGGGCAAGGACAGAGGGAGGTGTCAGTGTGGGGTATCAGAGGGTGTTGTACCCAGATGGCTGGGGGCACTGGAGGTCCAGTTGGTGGTCAAGCAGATGGGCGATGGCGGTGAAGTTGCGGCTCATGCGGAAGACGTCCTCGCTGGCCTCGCTGCCCTGGATCGAGGAGAAGCAGCTGGTCAGGCCATGGATCTCCTGCAGTAGGGTGTGGTGGACGCTGTGCTCCATGCTGCCCAGCAGGGACACCAGGTACTGCAGGGAGCTGCGAGCCAGAGCCTGGAGAGGGGGGTGGAGAGGGCTGATGTGGGTCATGGGCAACTAAGGCCTGGGGCCTGGTCAGATGGACACTCAACAGCCCACAGTCCCAGACTTAAGACACTCCTCAACATTATCCTAACATTCTTCTAGAATTTCTGCAACATTTCCACAATAAAACGACCAACCAGACCCGTGTACAGAGTCTAGGGACCTTCTAACTTCCCTGCGTTCCCATCCACTTGCCTGGTCATTTCCACATATGTACTGCACACGCCCTCTTAACAGAATCACTGAAATACTTGCAGCCATCTTATGCCCCCCCCCAAAGCAGATATCTGTGAGACTCTGAGACCAGAGGCAGGCCTACTGTAAGTGTTCTGACACCCTAGGCAAGATTCTGCTTCTCGCCTATGTTGCCTATGGGGCAGACCAGCCCTGTCTGAGACACAGGCGGCCTCAGACCACAGAGCTATAAGAGACTCTCTGGCTCGCCCGTGACTGAATAAAACACTGGCAAAGCTCGGATTCACTGGCACCAGGCTCCGGAAAAACAAACAGTGCGTTAAAAAACCACGTACTGCCCACATATTGTTTCTTTGTCTTCTGGGAGTCTTTGTTTAACCTTTTATTTAAAGCCTGTTAGTCACCCCTTCACAAAAGCCCAATTTAACCAGCTAACCTCATTTCAACAATTGAACAATTGGACACTCCAGATGCGGCCAGAGGGGGCGCTGTGGCTAAGGGTCAGCCCCGATGTTAGTGCCCCTCCGAACATTCACGGTATGGGGTCTGGTACTTCTCCATCTTCGATGTGGAAAAAGCACCCAAATCCCAGGCGCGCCCTCCCCTCCGCAAGGCAGCCCCCCCATCGCAAAAGCAAAAACACAAAGATGGCCATCTCTGTCTCAGCCATCAGTAACGTTATTGTTCCTCACAAAACAGCCCTTTCTGCCAGATTTTCAGCCCTGAATGCTTCCAGAAAAGTCCCACGTAGCTTTGGTGTCCTGCCAATGGTGCCCTTATTCCTTGTACCAGCTCACAGTCATCGCTGCTGTTTCATGTCACGTTGTGGGTTGCCATGTTTGTCCAACCCCCCCGTTTGGGCATTCATCACACCCGGAACACTCACACATGACACACGGACTTCATATGAATGCTTTTTTTCCCACTACCGATTGGAAATTTATATCTGACCATTTACGACAATGCATGTTAAAAACACTTCATGCCAAAAAGAAAGAAACAGCCATTGTGTGAACGACAGATGCCCAGGGGGGGGGGATGTTCTTTGCGACATGACATGAGAAACTCCCAACCAGCAGCACCGCCCCCCCTGGGGAAGGAATCCATTCGACCCGTCATTTCCAATGGGCCCGCAGGACAAATTCCAGGAACCATCCGAACCATCAGCTCTCCTGGTGTTGCTCCGAAGGGATGTGAGTGATCCGGAAAAGCCCAGATATCCACGTCGCTCCTGCTTTTCCTAACTGCAGCTCGAATGCTGTGCAGCGAAACCCGACACCAACACACAGCCTTAATGAGTCACGGTGGCCCACCACTCTGCTCGGCCCGAGTCTACGGCAGGGGTCCCCGGAGGTCCGCTGTCTTCGGCATTGTGAAATCTGTTTTCACTTATGGTGTCATCTAGTGGCTTCACGTTTCGCACGGATGACAGTTACTTAATAATCCGTCTCTGCTTTACCGTCCACGGGTTGACATTAGCTCCAGCAATGGTCAGTTAATGCTCCCTTGCAGACACAATCCTCTCAGGACCCTCAGCTCCATGCCATGAATGTCTTTGAATTTCAAGTATAAGTTTCTTCAAAGAAGTAACCAGTGTCATCCAAAGAAAATTATGTATGGAAAAGTAGAGGACGTTGTTGTTAACACAGAGTGCTGTACGTACAGAGAAAGCTGAGCATTATGGGTAACAGCAGGTCCACCAAAGGTGACGGGGTTACAGAGGTGGCCAAAAGTGGAGTTAAGCCTTCACAGGTCTTGGAGAACTTCCAAGAACTTTTGAGTCTGTTCTATGTGATAATTAATAGTCAGAAAATGGAGACTCGAGCTAACCGCAATTTTTGGAAGTGATGGATAGAGAAAGAGAGACTTAAACTGGAAAAAGATACTTGTGCAATACAACAGTGGTGACCAGGAGCAGGGCCATTGTGTTCTGTGAAGAGCCAGGCAGGCCAGCGATTGGCTAGGGGAAGGGGATGTGGCTTTGGAGGCAACGCCCACCTCGTCTGTCAGACCCACGGCCCCGTGGATCTTGACGATGTGGCCCAGGAGGTTGGGAAAACGTTGCCCGGCAACCCTGAGGGTGGTCAGATGCGAGGCGAGGGAGGCGGGGCTGGCCTGGGACACGCCCACCAGTACTGTCAGCAGGCCGTCATTCAGTAGAGGATCGCTAAGGTGTGTGACGAGCGAGGCCACCGTCGACCTTAGCGCCTGCACGGGCGGGATGGGGCAAAGACGGGTGACGAAAATGAGAGAAGGAGCAAAGAAGGAGCAGAAGGGAGCAGGAGGTGAGAGATCTGAAAAACAGCAAGCAGACATGCTACTGTACAGCATTATTCTACAGCGGTGATATAAAGTCAGCATTTTATTAGAACAATTCACAATAAACGCTTGGAAAAAAGAGGCCAAGAAAGGACCCTACTGCAAACATTCCAGTTCCATCAGAAATCCCATGAGCAGCCAAAGGAGAGCAGTGATTGGCCCAGAGCCACAGGGCTCCTATTGGTCCAATCTGAGCCACCCACTTCAGCTCTGTATAACTCTCTCATTCCAGGCAGGACTGGCAGGAAGACCAGTCTTTCTATTTCGGGCACATTTACCAAAACCTGCTTGTAATAGGAAGGCAGCACACAGCCCATTCTGGACAGGGACACAGACACAAACAGGTGATGTGACAGAGCCACACCAAGAAAGGCGGAATTCTGCGTCATCCTTTAACTTCTAGTTTTCTTGTAGGCTATATGTTTTTAACCATGATGGAAAATCATAAATATGGAGGGAGAATTTGATTATGCATTTTCAAGCACACGAAGATCCATCCTCCTTCCGTCCTGCAGTACACGTGGAAGAGGCCTTGAGTGAAAAAAACATCATAATTTATGAAGTGGTGTGAGGTCAAACATATTAGTTTATTAACTTTTTAGTCTACCGGGAGGTTAACTTGTGGGCGTCACTCACCAGGGGCTGTTGCTTGGCAACCATCAGCATCAGCCGGAGTAGGTGCTGCTGTTCTGGCTGCGCCAGCTGTGACATCATCGCCGCCAGACCATCCGTGTGCTGGTGAATGGCCTCAGGCTGCTTCCTGTACACAGAAGGCAGGACCCGCAGTAGCATGTGGTTTCCTGTGGTGGGGGCGTGGGGGGGGTCCAGTTATGAACTCATTCTCAGCAGTGAGGATGTAGGTTCAGGCTAAGCTACTGAATTTAAATCCATAACAGTATAATATGGACACTGTTCTATCCCCTGCAATGTCCCCTGGACATTGTATGTCTTGGGCAGGATAAATTACCCACCTGACTAATCAATCAACCAATCAGTGCATCAGATCCACAAGGCTTCTCGTTCCTGTGGACAGCACACGCTGAAGGTACAGCGAGGCCCTGGAGAAATAATTTGACCAATGTTCATGCAGCTAATACAATCATCAGTTTGGTATAATGACAGACTGGTCTCCAGCGAGAGCGCTGAATGAGAAACACAGTCATTAGCAGAGTGCAGGAGCGCTTGGCTGTTCGATATTCTCAATCGTGTGCCAGACATATGGCAGGGATCTGCAACTGACAGACCAGCAAGGACCGTGTCAACATCCACTACCTCAACCCCCTCTGGAATTCATAGTGTGGAGGTGGGATTAGCTGTGTGAACTTTGGTGTGATTATCATCTGGAAGAAATACACAGCTCACTAATAAGGATTTCACCACCGTGAAAGACACCATCTACAACTTTCTACTCAGGATGTGACCAACTTGAAAAATAAAATCTACAAATTTCTATTTGGGATGTGACCAGACACAATCCACATTTTTTCCACTGGGCATGTGATTGATGAGAAAGACACACAGTAACTTTTACAACATCACATTCTAAATCCACAGGCATCAATATGGAGCTGCTCCCCCCTTTGCAGCTATAATAGCTGTCACTCTTCTGGAAAGGCTTTCCACAAAATTTTGGAGTGCTTGTAGGAATTTTTGCCCATTCATCCAGAAGGACATTTGTATGGGCAGGTACTGATGTTGGACATGAAAACCTGGCTCATAATCTCCATTCTAATTCATCCCAATGGTGTTCAGTGGGGTCGAGGTCAGGGCTCTATGCAGGTCAGTAAAGTTCTTCCACACCAAACTCACTCAACCATGTCTTTATGGACCTTCCTTTGTGCACTGGGGCACAGTCATGCTGGAACAGAAAAGGGCCTTTCACAAACTGTTCCCATGTTGTTGGAAGTATAGAATTGTCTAGAATGTCTTGAAGCATTAAGAGTTCCCTTCACTGGAACTAAGGGGCCCAGACTAACTCCTGAAAAACACCCCCATACCATTATCCCTCCTCCACCAAACTACAGCTGGCACAATGAAGTCAGGCAGGTAACGTTCTCCTGACATCCACCAAACCCAGACTCGTCCATCACACTGCCCGACAGAGAAACGTGATTCGTCACTCTACAGAACACGTTTCCAATGCTCCAGAGCTTAGTAGCTGCGTGCTGTACACCACTCCATCCGACGCTTGGCATTGGGCTTACTGATGTGAGGCTTGCATGCAGCTGCTCGGCCATGGAAGCCCATTCCATGAACCTCCTGCTGCACAGTTTCTGTGTTGGGGTTAATGCCAGAGGAAGTGTGGAACTCTGCAGTTATTGAGTCCACAGAGTGTTGGCAACTTTTACGCACCGTGCACCTCAGCACCTGGAGACCCCACTCTGTTACTTTACGTGGTCTGTCACTTCGTGGCTGCATTTCTGTTCCTATATGCTTCCACCGCGGAATATCTTAGCCTGGAAGAAATTTCACAAACTGACTTATGGCAAAACTGGCATCCTACTACGCTTGAATCCACTGAGCTCTTCAGAACCACCCACTCTTTCATAAATGTTTGTAAACTTGACTGCATGGATAGGCGCTTGATTTTATACACCTGTGGCGATGGGTCTGAATGAAACATCTGAATTTAATGATTAAGAGGTGTGTCCCAAAACTATTGTCCATATAGTGCATCAGAGGAAAAACCTCAACCAGTCAGAGGGACAAAGGCCAGGATAAAGGACACCTCACCCTCATTATTCCAAGCTCAACTGCAAGCTGATCCTGAACCTCTTTAACACTCTGATGAGTGAGCTATTTACTCTGGTGAACTGCTGGCTACAGTAATGCCCATGCTGAATGGAAGCTTCCATGATGAATGGAAGGTGGCTGGTTAACATCCTGTAAAGGAGAGACGGATAGAGTGTTCCACATCCCAGTGTGGAGTGTTCCACATCCCAGTGTGGAGTGTTCCACATCCCAGTGTGGAGTGTTCCACATCCCAGTGTGGAGATACTTAGCACCCGCTCTCCGTGGGCCTTAGACGTCGTCATCAAGGACCCCCCCGTATCTCCATGGATGTCATTTTCATGCTAGCTTTCTGAGAAGATGCAGCCAGCCTGTCCTGGGCTTCTGAGAGAGCTCGGACTTCACTCTGCGGAAGTACGGACTTCACTGGAAAATGCTGGGCATATTCACGGTTCTACTGAACTGTGAGCGCTGGTCCGCTAGCCGACAGAGCGCAGTGTGCTGCTCGCCCCTCATCACTGGCTGCCACTGGCCCAGCTCTTGGGCTGTGGGAACCGAACACATCTGAACTCCTGTGCCCCTTCAGGAGGACTTCCAAGCATCTGGAGTCTTTCTACTTTCCATAAGGCACTGAAAAAATGCATGTGGGAGGGGGGGCCGTGAGCACACGCTTGTTTTTAAATACGGGAGCACAGTTTTACGGGGACATTAGACACCCACCACTTTATATGATGGATCTGGGGAGACCAGCTCTAGACATATAGCACATACAATAAGAGCTAAAAGCCAGCCAGCTCCCACACAGCCATGTGCAGGATGGAGCAGACGGCGGCGCACACAGCCTGGGGACCCACAGGGCTTCGGATAATACGGGCTTTTAAACTGACAGTGAGCTTTATTTGCCATTTTTAAGCGTGAGGACGGGAACATTAAATTATGGGTGTTTTCAAATATCCCATCATGCTCTCCTTTTAAAGAGATACACACACATATAAATTGTACTGTGCAAAAGTCTTAGACAGTCAAAAGAAATGTGTTGAAGTTATTTATCTGGGTAGTAAGTGCATATTTGCTCAGAAAAAAAAACACCATTTAACATCAGAGCATATGCAAATTAAGAGTAACACAATAAAAACTAGCAAAATTTTCTTCTGTTCTCCAAAAGGTTAGTTGGATGGCTAGATGAACACCGCTTCAGTTCCCAAACCTCTCCACAGGGGCACCTCAGCCACTATTTATTAAATTTCATCACCAGCTCACTTAATTAACTTAATTAGTTATGAAAAGTCAATGAGATACCGATTAGCTAAACAAGGTCGAGTCAAAGGATACATGAGTGTATCTGTATGGTTGCTGGAAATAATGGGGTGATTTTAGCAGAGGGTTTCACATTGTTAAGCTAACATACTCTTACAGGTATAATAGCATAGTTTTATACCAACCTGAAGGTCATTTAAACATCATTTCTTTCTTTCTGCCTAAGACTTTTGCACAGTACTGTATATAAAGGGGGGGGGGGGGGGGGTTTAAGGACCTTGCTTAATGTGTAATGGACATGTGACTATTCTGCTGATTCTGTGATAATCTTAAACCACCCCCAATGCCAGGCAGCCCTACTAGATGCATAGGCAGTCATCGTGGCTCATGCTTCCATCTTTAAGAGGTTACAAGCACATTAAACATGCCCACATGTGTATGGCCCTGCCTGTGAGGCCAGCTTAATTAAATAACTATGAGTCTGCAGAACAGAACTGCTAGCTCTGTCAAGAAGCCACTGGACACTGGGCGGAGTGTGGGGCACTCCTCAAAAGAGTGAATTCGTGGGAGGATCTCTCTGAACATCCCACAAAAAATCAAATGGACTTAGGGTGTGATCCGGAGCTCATGTGGTCCTACGTCAGGCGGGGAGGTCAAACAGCATGGTGTGGTAACCGTGTGGTCCAGGAGCCTGAGCGCGTCTGGTAAGAGCAGCTCTGGAATATCAGGATCTGGCCGCAGAAGAGAGGAAAAAACTCCAAAGGTCACTTCCATTTTCAAAAAAACAATCCACCAGCCAGACCAAACACGCTGGCCGGGGTGAACGTCCGCCACGCAGCACACATTAGCATCCACGGCATCATTATTTGGCTACATCAAGCAGGACCCCCGGGGGGGTCTAGGATTTCAGCCTGGGCTCCCATTGCTGCTCATTTGGCTACAGATTTATACCTGAGAGCCGAACTATGAGGTAACCTGCTGAGGGCCTGAAACGGCAGGCCGGCAGTGTCCGGGGACAAAGGGACGTGTTGCGTGATGGGGGGGAGGGCAGGGGGATGCTTCCACGAGCCTGTGGGGACCGCCAGACCTCCAGCTTACTCTGGTGTCAGCGGGCTTTGCTTACGCCCTCAGAGGGACGCTTGTCCCCCCTCCCCCCCACCCAGTCCCGGTCCCGGTCCCGGTCCTGTCCGGACCTCTGGCTTTCAGCAGCCTTTGGCCTCTGTCCAGCCCCGGGGCCTCAGAACCTCCCCCTCACATGTGGGGAACGGGACGAGAACCGGGGGGCCTCATGAGGAAGACATTACACACCCCACCCCTCGCTCCCCACAAACGGGGCATGGGGGGAGGCAGAGAAAAAAAACAACAAAAAAAAAAAACTGGCTCCATTCTGCATCTCATCCATCCATGCAATATACACCAAAGGGGGGGAAAGTTGGGGATCTTATCCCCCGCCCCCACCGCCGACCAGCAGAAGCACTTATGTCTGATTACAACACACATGGTACCTCCAGCAAAGCATTAGTCACTTTCCGGTGTCGCTGTGTTTATATAGACTCGCGGACAGATCTCCTGGCTCATTCTGCGCGCTGCACTGAGAGACGCTGTTCCACGGAGAATGAGCTTGACTATGGCTGCGATATGGGCTCTGATAGCTGCCGGTGTGCTCTGCCTGTCCTGCACCGGGCCGGTGTGCGCTTACGGTGAAGACATGATGTATGGCAACAATGAAAACTTCTACAACAACATCCTTGAACTGGATCAGCAGGAAGGTGAGCGGCTCACCAAATTCTCCCGTTCCGCTCTCCCGGTGTATGTGACGATGCTGGAATTGGAAAAAGACAATTTGGGGGAGGGGGTTGGTTTTGGGGTTTTGGTGAGGACTTCAAGGGGGTTTGACGGACTCTGATTAAGCTTGAGTACATGTAATCGGTGTTGATTAAAAAGTTAGAGATTAGAGATTACGGGTTACACGTCAATCAGCAGTGACTGGGGGGGGGGGGGTTCACAACAGATACACAGACTAAATCTATAGAATATTAACATGTCAGCCCCGAAGTGTAGACGAGATTTCAAAATATTTTCAAGAACATTTCTGTGGACCCTTTGGAATGTTACGACAGTTCTTTGGTGACATGAGGACTGAGTGAGTTTTGGTTCCCGATACTGTAACATATGGTGAGGAAGGCAGATTTAGGTCATTGACGGTCTCATCTCAGAAACAACAGAAAACGGGCCGAATGAGTTTCGGAAATTTGCTCTTCAGAGAACAGAGTGAATGTAGATATAGGTATTCAGCCGCTTTTAAAACCCGTAAGGTGATATAACTTCATCACAGGGCATTACTGATTGTGTCTCAGAAACTCAAAAATTTATTGATATCCCGTTTTGGAGTCTGACCCCCTCAGCCTTTCAATGCCCCCCCCTTGATGGCTCTCTGTGCTTTCTGATCCCGCCCCCCCCCCCCCTCCACATCCAGATACCACCACGGAGACGCCATGTGAGGTCAGTGATTTGACCAAATGGGACAAGCTCTTCTCCATGCTGGAGAACTCGCAGATGCACGAGACCATGCTGCAGCACAGCATGGACGACTTGCTGCGCGCCGAGCTGCGGGCGCAGCGAGGGGAGCTGCTGCTCAGCATGGAGGGCGTGGCCTCGGCCTGCGCCAGCTGCGACGACAGTGACCGGCGATGGCTGGAGGCCACCCTGGGGCTGCACACCGCTCGGATGATGCTGCTCCTTCAAAAGACCGAGAACCAGCAGCAGCTCCTGGAGCAGATCCTGGCCTCCATCCAGAACTTGGGGGCAGGGCCAGGCAGGAAGGATAGCACCTCCAACACCGTAAACAATGACGTTACCGACGGAGACGGTCGCCAGGTGCTGAGGATGCTCACAGCCATGGCCAAAGACTTCCAGAAGATCCAAACTGAAATAGCATCTGCGGCACAGAACTCTCTGCCACAGGGTGAGTGCCATTTCCTGTATCCGTCGCCATGGCGATAACACTGAAGCTTAATTACTAGCATCTTCATGGCCATAACTCAATTAGCGTGCCTGTGTTTAATAAATCCTCCTCACTAAGCCAGGCGCAGCGTGTCTCCTAAAACCTTGATACACATTCTGGTCCAAACACTGGATGCACATTCTGGTCCAAGTCAAATGACCCGGGTACCATGAATCTGACAGTAAACTGTCACACTCAGGGACCTCAAGAGCACTAAGGCGTCCGATAAGGGGAAACAGACGACGTCATCCTGTTAGTGGAGAACCAGAGACAGGCAGCAGGTCTTTGGGTCGAGGGAAAGTGGAGGCGAACGTGGAAGAACGACCTCCTGAGGCTCCATTCAGGACACGTGATATTAATGTCAGATGGCCAGGGGAAAATTAAGGATTAGCAGATTTTTATCTCTTGGGCACAAAAAACAACAGAAGCTTCGTGCTGAAGCTCATATATCGGGATAAATTAAAAGACTTTTAATAAAGGCTTTTTTGGTAAAGAAGATTAGGAGCGTTTTACTAAAAGAACCCTCATTCAGCCTCCACACACAGGATCACATTGACTCCATCCTCTGTTTCCACTGCTGATCCTCACCACTTGCCCTTGAAGGCTGGGGGGGGGGGGCAAATGGGCTTTGTCCCAGTGCATGATGGGATGCAGGCCAGCAGTGTTTTGCTGGGGCATTCGCATGTGGGAGGTCTACTCTCAATGCTTGTTAGATATTGGCTGAAAGGAGAAAGAACAGCTGCTTGGCATTTAGTGGCCAGCAGGTGGTGTAGTCCTTAAGGACTACAATGCTGAAGGCTGCTGGGGTTGTTTCTCAGTGAAATACTAGGCTATTGAAATTAAACAGTGAATAATGTCTTCAAATAAAAACAGAGCCTGGCAGTCAGGAAGCGCCAAATGGAAGCTAATTAGTGAACAGAAAGGAAAATAAACACAGGCCCAATACACGCATACAGGCCAAGTTTATACAGAAGTACAAATTGGGTTTATACACAGGTACTTATACATGTGTACAGGCCGGGTTTATACACGCGTACAGACCGGGTTTATACACGCGTACAGGTCGGGTTTATACACGCGTACAGGTCGTGATTATACACGCGTACAGGTCGTGATTTTACACGCGTACAGGTCGGGATTATACACGCGTACAGGTCGGGTTTATACACGCGTACAGGCCGGGTTTAGACACGCGTACATGCCGGGTTTATACACGCGTACAGGCCGGGTTTATACACGCGTACAGGTCGGGATTATACACGCGTACAGGCCGGGTTTAGACACGCGTACATGCCGGGTTTATACACGCGTACAGGCCGGGTTTAGACACGCGTACATGCCGGGTTTATACACACGTACAGGTCGGGTTTATACACGCGTACAGGCCGGGTTATACATGCATACAGGCTGGGTTTTTACATGAAGGGGCACTGCAGACTGATGATGAAGGCTGTTGCAGTCTGTCTTCTGCAATCTCCTGTATATTGATTCTCTTTCCTCTTTTCATCCATTTCTCTTCCTCCCTTCCTCCCTCCCTCTCTTTCCCCGCTCTGCCTCACTCTTTTTCCATCTCTCTCCCCACCCATCCTGTCTCTCTTTCTCTGCCTCTCTCTCCCCCTCCCTGTCTGTCCCCTTGCCCC